TTGCTGTACTTACCCACCCACCCACCCACTCCACCCTTGCTAAATTCATCTTCCCGCCCCATGCATGGGGGTACACAAAGGGGAATCAAAATCCCTTGGCCTCAACAATTTGTAGAGGCAGAAAGGAAACCTCAGCATTGCTTTCGGAACTTTCTGTGAAACCAAAGAAACATAATCACATTAAGGCTAGGCTTGGGTGTTGGCTACTGATGAGAAGGAAGCTGCTTTATAATCCCAGCACTTGATATTCATGTAACTGCAGAACTCACAGAAGGCTGGCAACTGTGCCGCTCTGTGCCAGAGTCAAAAGGATTTCTTGCCTTCGCCCTCCACACCCTCCCCATAAGAGCAGTGGAATGATAATTCATTCACGCAAGCCGCAAAAGATAAGATTTCCCCACACACACATACACATCACTAATCCCTTCACAGCTAGAAGATTCCAGACTTCAAATTACCGTATTTTTTGCTCTATAAGACTCACTTTTTTCCCCCTCAAAAGTAAGGGGAAATGTCTGTGCGTCTTATTGAGCGAATATGAGTGTGCACTAAGTCTGTCAGATGTGCAGCCCATGGGGAAGTGACGGGGAATGTGCCTGTGATTATGTGCCCATTTGATTCAGAATATTTTTTTTCTTGTTTTCCTCCTCTAAAAACTAGGTGCATCTTATGGTCAGGCACGTCTTATAGAGCGAAAAATATGGTATTTCAGATTAGGCTTGTTCCAAATTGCTGAGGACTCGTCTGACCAATCAGGGAATTAAGGCAGCCTTAAAAATATTATCAAGGCAACATCCTTTATATAGGAAAGCCACACCTACACATGTTGCCAAGAGGTATTCTGATCTCAGCACCTGGTGTATGTTCCTTCCCCGTTCAGTTTTTATTTATTCCATTCACACTGATGGATACTAGATAGCTGCCCTCCTGGTTACTTGAAAATGCTGGAAATTGATTCCAGGTGTGCTTGGGATCTGAGGTGCTAGTGGCAGGCGACTTGTGCTCATCCAAATTGCTTGGCCTACACTTCCCATGATCCTTCACCATTGGCTTAAACTGGCTAGGGCTGATGGGAGTTATAGGCAAAGCATCTGGAAGGCTACAAATTGTCTTTCCCTGGTGTAAGGAAAGTGCAAGCCCTCCTCTGTTCTGTTTTCTTTTACTCTGTTCAGTTCCATTCTTTTGTAACATTTATTGTTAAATTCTAGTGAAATACAAACCAGTGTTCTAATATTCAGGGATGTGGTGTGGAACCTCTGAGGCTACACAAATGTCACAGGGAGTGGAGCGGGCAAATGTTCCCACCACTGGCCAAAGGACAAGGCTGTGGGGATTGCTGGCATTGGCTGAGCTGTTTTGATCCGACGAAACAGCAAGGCGGGCAAGGAGGTCTGGAGCAGTGGCGGACGGTCATGGACCATGCGGCCAGTGCCTGGTGTCCTCAAGCTACCTTTGCCCGGTTTGGCTTTCCACAGGGGCTCGCTGCTGAACATTTATAGTCAAACGAGCTACGCACATCTCTAGGTGAACTTAGCCCGAAGTGGAAATGAGATCTGCCTTTAGTAGGGCAGGAAGTGAAAAGAACAAGTTTCTTACAAGGAGAAATTGATGGAGGCATGTAAATATTAATCATAGGTTTTATGTATATAACTACATGCATACTGATTCATTCAGCACTGTGCTACAATTTAGCACACATCTTCATAAGGGAAGAATTTCATTTAAAAATATGAGTGGTTGTAGTTGTAGATTCAAATATTTCTAAATTAGCCAATATCCCACAATAGATCTGACATTAAAAAAAGATAACCATGCTGCTCCATTGGAGGGGGTGGGATCCAAAATCCACAGCTGGGCAGTATGTTTTAGGATCCAACAAATGCCACAACAGTGTTCAAGCTTGGAAGTCACTCAAAACTTTTTATCAGGCTAGACGGGGAAAAAATGTAAGGGGGGAAGGGAGAGAAACTGAAAAGATCTAACTTTGGCCTAATGAGGTGCCCTCAAGGTCCCTAACTCAGAGCTGCTTCTGCAAGACGTTCCCAGATGTTGGTGGGTGTGGCTTGAACCAGGAAGTGACTTCTCCATTCCAGAATCATGTTTGGCGCAATCTGATATCTCCGCCATCTGCAATGCATTGCAAGGTACAGTCTGAAACCTGATAAACCCCAGACAACCCAGGTCAAACTTCTCCAACCTGGTGCCTACCAGCTATCTCGGACCAGAACTCTCACTACCCAATGACCCTATGGGCTGCAGGTAACAGAGCATACCTTGTTGGAGGAGTCTGATTCCAAACAATGCATTCATCTACATGATCCTCGGCATGCTTGCAATATTTGTCCTTTTTCTGCCAGGTGTGCTGTATTTTTTCTACTATTGCTGTATTCTTGGGGGAACATGTGGCTTTTCAGAGCAGAAAACAAATTTCTTTGCCACTAGTACAGCATTCAAGCATCAAAATTCACAGACCTATGAGAGGACAGAGACCAGTGGTAGATACTCAAGCTGGTTGCTTCGCTTACACAAGAGGCATGATCTGATAACTAATCTGATATACTGGGGGACCGCTTGCCAGGAAGAAGCAACGACTTGTCAAGGATCTTGACTGAAAACCAATGCCTCCAATTAGTGATTGTCACGCATATGTTTTGTAGGCTCACATGGGGCTGTGAGCATGTTCTCTCCATGGTACAACAATCTGGAATGTCATCATGTCACATTATCCTGCCCTAACGATCACCAATTGGCTCATTTTTCAGGATTCGGCTTGTAATTAACTGATGGGTTGTGAAGACTTCTGAGTGTCTTCCATTTACTGCCAGAAGCATGGATATTTAAATTTTGATTGATGAGGAGCCTTTCAGCATTGACAGCCGATACTTGATGCGCTGCCATTTTCTAGTTATGCACCAGAAGCATGAATATTTTCTAGGACACAGTCGTGATGCTCAGACCTTCGAATCTGAAATAAGGAGCTGGCATGTGCTTCCTTTAGCTGGATCCACCAAACTCTCACCCAACCAGCAGCCCACCTTACCACAGGGCTCTGAGATCAGCCTGAGTTTGAGAGGAGGTGACATGGTACAAGGGTCCTCTTACAGGACTATCGTGCCTGAACCAGGCAGGGGCTCATGGGCTTGAACCCAGGTCCAGCACTGGAAAACTGACTCTCCAGTTAAGGGTCCCTGAGCACAGACTTGGGCTGGAATTTGGAATTCTGGAGCTTCAAGTGCAGCAGCCAGAAGATTATACAAGGATGAAAGACCAGGCTCCTAACATATATACACATATATGCTAATCTCCATAAATACCATAAGTGCCAAGACTGTGGAACATTGTCATGCATATTAAGGGCATCTTAGGGACATGTGCTTCAGAGTTTTAAATATACTAAATAATTATAATTAATTTAAATATGTCTGCATAGTAGAAGCCTGCCATAATATGTCCCACCACTAGGGGCAGACCACTGGGGCACATTGCTTTCCAGGCCTGGTCCACAATCACAACCCAGAATTTGAACTGAGTGTGGATTGTTGAACCCTGGGTTATACTTGCTTACAGGCCCTGCACTGTGGTTTAGCTATGGGTTGTTAAGCTCAAAGAAACGTGGAAGAAAACCTACATTATCTTATTGGGCTGTGAGATTTTGTGGTTAACAACCCACAGTGAAGCTGTTGAGAGGTCCAGCATTATCAACAAAGCTACACTGCCCCTGCCTCTTTCCTGGCATATGTCAATGTACAGGGCACCCAAGGCTGTTTCCATGCAAAAACCAGGCCTGAATCCGGAGTGAAATGATCCAGATAATCAGTCTCATTCAGATTTCTGGAGTTGCTTGGTAACCACCCTCTCAAGAGCCTTGCCCAGGAAAGGAATATTGGCTACCAGCCTGTAGTTGTTCAGATCTTCCAGGTCAAGGAAGGGTTTCTTCAGAAGTAGCCTCAGTGCTGCCTCTTGCATGGGGCACTCCCTCTTGCAAAGTGGCATTAATAACCTGCCTGGCCCAGCTGGTTATTCCTTCCTTGCTGGCTTTTATTAGCCAGGAGGGGCAAGGATCCAGCACAGAGGTGGTTGCCCAAACCTGTTAAAGCACTTTGTACACATCCTCGAGCTGTACCAACTGAAACGCAACCAATAAAACCAGCCCGGGCTGCACTCAGGATATCTCCACAGATCCAGCTGCTATAACTCTGGAGTCCAAGTCCAGCAAGTAGATTACAGTGGACCCAGGATGGGCCCAAGGTGTCCCTAGGGTCAGAACGTAATAAGCCCCAGACATCCTGAAAAGCTGCACTGAGCATCAAAAGATTGGACAAAAACAGTGAGGTATTGTTTCTTTGCCACCCTCACTGCCACAAAATACACTCAGTTGTAGGCACATACCAGATTGAAAGTTAGCAATGAGAATGGCTGTATTAAGTCCCCAACTTTTTCCTGGAGTGCCTCATGGATCGAGAGATTAGAAAAGCCAAATGCAGGTCTTGTGGCAAAATGTATTAAAAGGGCTGGGGAGAAGCATCTGTCTCAGAGCAGATTAAAAAAAAGAAACCAAAGGATTTTTTTTTTTAAAAAAAAAAGGTTTGGAATTAAACAATTTTGAAATTCTCAAGTCATACTGGTGATGATGTAAAGTACTAAGACTTGTGGCCCTACCAACCACGTAGCAGCTCTTTTGCAGACTGGGTGCTCTTTATAAAGCACAGCACTTCTATGTACCATTTGCACATCAAAGTGTAGAAGCCAATCACTCTGAACTGGGTTCCTTAGAATCCAGAAAGATGGGCCAAAACCCCACACAACAGCAAAGGAAAAAAAAGCTCTCCTCAAAAGGATGTTGAACCTCTTTCAGCTCAGGGATCAAATGCACTTTTGGAAAGCCACATTCCAGCAGTGGGCAGGGTTAAAGGCAAAGGGGGTTAGAACCCAAATACAAGCAATGTTTAAAAAAAAAACCAGAATATTTTATCTAAATGCTCTTCCTGCCAGCAACTCACCCTTAGGAGGGGTCTTTCAGGAAAGGGGGCACAGCCAGGAGAAGCAGAATAGCCACCTTGGAAAGCCTGGGAGGCTGGCCTAGGAAACCAGGCTCAGGTTCAGCCTCTGCAGGGCTGTAATATGGCACTTTAAAAGAGAAGTTCTTCCCTCTCCCAGTGCCTATCCTGTCTTGTCGGGAAACTGCACGTTGCACAGAGTTTGCCTTCTGTAATATGTAGGTCAACTTATCATCACACTGTTTATCTTATTGTCCCTGCCAGAGGCAGCCAGAGCAGAGGAGGCACAGCATGAGGACGTGGGAAGTGGCACAAACTGAATTTGACATGAAGATGACAAAGCAGGAAGCTGGCACTGCCATTTTTGCTGGCAGCGCTGTGCTCTGACCTTGTTTGGACAGCTCCGATGCATACCAGCAAGGGATTCGTCACCTGCTTATACTGGACATCGCCAGGCATGACGACGATGTCATCACGAGATGAAGAGGCTCCTCCACTTCAGCTGCTGCTGCTGGCACTCCGTGTGACCAGAAGGGATGTGGAGCAGTTGCAGGAGTCTTGCTTTTTCTGGACTCCCCAGCTGCAACCACCCACTCGCTTCCATCAACAGCAGTTCTGTGACCATCAAAATAGAGGATCACTGGCCAGGCTCTTTCCTTGCCTGGTATCTCAGGCAGTGTTGAGATCTCTTTCTCTCAACCTTCCCAGCACTCCTCCTCCTCCTCCTCTATCATCAAGCTACTCCTGCACATATGTAAATATGTTATTGCTGGTGCCAGCCAGCTTTGGGAGAAAAAGTGAGACATCCCTGCACCTTCTAGAAATCTGCCAATTGTGTGAGGAGTGGTAGATATGTTTTGCCCCTACCACAATGCTGTCCCATCATACCTGATAAGAGGGAGGGAGGCGGCCAAATGACAAAGACTGATGACAAACAGGAATAGCCAGAACAGTAAATCATGCAGAGAGGCACTAGGCACTCTCCTCTGCAGGAAGGGACTATCATTGATTGACTTATCAGGGACTATTTGTCTTGGAGGAGGACACTACTGGGAATGGCTGAGACAGAATGTGCCGGAGTGTTGGGAAGGTGGAACAGAATATTGGGCACTGCCTACCGATAGAGATAGATGCAGGGTAGGTCAATGGTATGTAGAGAAGTAGACAGAGACTTCCTTTCTGCATGATTGCAATTCCTTCTTGATGTGCAGGTGCCAGAACAAGGTTCAGGCTGTAATCCTTTACTCACTTACCTTCTGTTAAGTCCCATTGAACTCAATGGAATTTATTCTGAATAGACAGGCAGAGAATTACTTTGTGATACTCCTCAGGTGTTTATACAGTGTCTTTTTTTTCTTTTTTGGAAGTTGCACAGAATTCTCTCTGTGATCCTTGGAGGAGGGAATCAGTCGCTGAATATCACTGATGAGACTTTAGGTGGGTGATGGATTGTGGTTCATCCCTGTGATGAAGCCAAGCAGAATGGAAAGTATTTCATTAGGTGACATATAAATTCAGTCTTTATGATGTAAGTAAACGCTCTGGAAATACAGCCACACCTTCCTGTCACCACCAACCTGGGAAGCCCTCAAATTGGGCCTTTGAAACCTCAACATGAGATCGGGTTTATGAAGTCGCAAATCTAGCCGCTAATGCTGCTCGAAATGAGGAGATTAGAATAAGGCACCGGCTTGTGTGGGAGTGGAGATCGATATAAAAATATGTGACACTGCATCTCAAATGGGTTTCTGCAAAGGGAAACTCATAACAGATCCATGATGATTATGGAGCTGAGTAAGTAACTGAGTTAGAACCAAATTAGAGAGCTGCAGAAGCTGGCCGGCTGCCATTCATGAGATGCAGGTAATCAAGTGACAAGTGAATGAACAGCGAAGTATGATCCCAGTCGACACTGATGCAATAACGTAACATTTTATTGGAACCTGACTGGTGTCTTCAGTAATGGTTTATGCAGCATGCGCATGGGAGGGAGGGAGAGCAGGGAATGAATGAGGCTTAGAGAGAAAGTATTTTGCATATTCCCAAAAGGAACGTCTATATTGCGCTTAAATGTTAATACACACACGGTGTGTGTTCGTGCAACTATTAAATACAAAAATAGTAAAGCATAGCTTCACAGGTTGCAAGATACATTTACATTTTGCACAGCGTGCCAGCAGATTCTTGGATCAGAGCCATCATGTAATATATCCAGTTGCTGGACTGTCCGGCTTCAGGTTGCTCTTATTTGAATGCTTCTCCATATTAGGAAGAGAAAGAGCAAAAACATCCCTATGGTTGTGACAGTTCTACAGTAGGAAGAAAAGCGCTAGGATGTAAGCACTTGCTAAAAATGCAGGCTCCAGTCCAGCTCTGTGAGTGTTCATGTGTGTGCCCACACGTGTGCATGGCACCTGAGATCACAAGGCATCACAACCCTATCCTTGCACAAATCTGTCATTGTATGAACTCTGGTCTCCAGCTGTCCCATCTCTGGACCATTGACCAACGGTTCTCTAATGCATGCATGACTCTAGCTGGGGAGGGACTAGGAAGGAACCATGTGCACGGATCCAGTTTTGTGCACATAATTCCTGGCACACCTAGAGATGTATGCACATAAAACATCTTCCTGTCAAGTAAGGCCCCAGGTGGAAGGTCAATCAAAAACATAGGACAAGTGCCTTGATCCTGTTATTAAAACACAGCCAAACTCCACTTCCTAGTGAAGAGTTTCATCGGGGGCAGGGATGGCGGATGTTTTAAGGCAGCCTGAGCAACTCAGGCGGCTCTTGGCACCTAACCCCATGGGCTGCCCTCCTGGCATTGCTGCTTTGCAATTCAGTGGCACAGAAGCAAAAAAGAAACAGTGGTTTGCCACTAAAATTCACCAGCCACCTGCAAAAGAGGCTGAAAATGGCAAACCACACTTGTTTTCAGGCCAAGTTCTAACATGGTTTGCTGCCAATATTTAGTGGCAACCCCCCAGTCTTTTTGCCACCAGGCTAGGGTGGTACAAGAGCAGTAGAGGCTGGAAAGGTGCATGTTGCCCACCTCTAACTTCTGAGCTGAAATTGGCCCCCAAAGCAGCTTTATCTAGATTAGCCCAGTGGCAGAAGTCAGCACCACAGGGCACTTGCCAACGCCCTTGTCCCAGTGGCGTCCCACCACCCATTTCTGGGACCTGCTGGCCTTCTCCACCCTCTGCTTGCCTCTTCATCTCTGAGCAGAAAAAGCCCTGGGAGAAGTAGCAGTGACCTCCACATGCTCTGTCTTCTCCTTCTAGGAGGGGCTGCATATCAAGTCCAGGGAAAGAAACGAGTGAGGAGCCAGAACACCAAAGATGAGAAAGGAGGGCCCATGGAGAGCATCTGGCCCAACAGCCTCCCACACCCTGAAGCCAGCACTGCATGGAGGCCCTATCACACCTGGATAAAGAAGCCAACAAAGGACGCCTCATTCATCCATAAGGAAAGGAAAAGAATCACTGTGGCCCCTTTTCTGGCTGGGCCTGACGTGGTTTGTCGTTCCACATTTCAAGGGGGTTTACTAGACTGGGGAAGGCTGTTCCGCGAGTGACTACTTGGACTAGTCCATCTTTGAGCCTGGCTGCAGGCCCTTCCCCCGACGTGGTCCACTCGTGCTGTAATCGGTAACGTGGCATCAGGAGCTACCAGGGCCAGCCCTTCTGTGAAGCACAGGGAGGCTGTGGCCTCAGGCAGCAAATTTCAGGAGCCATAAAACGGCAGCAAACTGTCGGTTATTTACTTCATTGCATTTCTACTGCCAGGAGCGAAGAGAATTGCTTATGGGATTTTCTGTGTCACTTGCCAAAATAGTATGGCCAGCTTTAGACACTGTGCACCTTAATTTGGCCGGGGTGCAGTGGAAGGGCATATTCAGCTATGCCACAGGTAATACAATACCTTGGGCCAGGCCGGGTGACCTCTCCACTTGTGGTCTTTCATGGACACCTGGATGTAGGGCTTTCTCTGCGGTGGCGCCCAACCTATGGAATTCACTCCCCAAAGAGGTCCGCCTGGCACCATCGTTACTGGTTTTTCGGCGCCAGGTAAAGACCTTTTTATTTAAACATCATTTCAATTGTTAAAACATATGATCTGGCCTGGGCAACTTCTTCTTCCTTCTCTTTCTCCTCCTATATTTTTATTTTATACTGATAATTTTAATTTTGTATTTGTAAATCAATGTATTTTTTTGTATTTTTATATTTAATGGTAATTTATTATGTACTATTGTATTTCAATGTATTTTATCATGTTGTAAGCCGCCCCGAGGTTTCGGCAAGGGGCGGCATAGAAATGTTATAATAATGATGATGATGATGATGATGTAGCTGCTGTTGCTATCCCAGGGTGCGACTTTTCCCGGAGTCCTTGCCTTGGCAGTAAAGCTTTCCTGAGCCGAGACTGGAGGGAGCTTCCGACCCTCACAAATTCCTACATTTGACAGCAGGCAGCTATCTCAGCACTTTGTGTGCTTCGTTGGCTTGTCCTCTAGGTCACTGTTCTTCCACCCGAAGGCCCAAGGTCGTGTATAAATTCCACCTCGTTCCATCTACCGAGGCAAAGTCATCATTGCTGTTTTGTTCAGTCTTGACCAATAACTGTCTTAGGCCATTCGGGGTACGACAACAGGGTCAGCGTCTAGAGCAGAGTTCAAATCATTTCCCACATTTTGCAAAGGCTGCTCCTTTGCTGCCACCAAGTGTACGCTTGCAGGGGGTGGCAGACAATCAGAGCTCACTGACAAGAGCATCACCTCCAACACACCCCTGTCACATCCACTTTGGGGGTGCACTTAAAACAATCTCAAAAACTGCACAGTGCATCAAGTGGCCCTTAGCAGAAAATGCCATTTTATGGCTTTAAAGGGATGGAAGATGGGCATATGGCTTTCAGCAATGGCCATTCACTGCCCCGATCAGATGCAACTGATCTTCGAGCAGCAGAGCTTGGGGTGAAGCACAGAAGATGGGCATCCCAATAATTGTGTCATTCTGGAGCATCAGCACACAATCCTTTGGGGCCTGAGAGCCAAATCCGGTCTTGCCAAGGAAGTCCAGGGCCAATGTGTGCGCGCACATGAATGGACATGCATCACAGGCATACCGGGATGGGGAGCGGGGTGGAGATGCTTGTACAAGCACAGGGGTGCAGGTGGGAGAAATAC